ATGAATTGATTGATGGATGATTTGGATAGATGAAGATGGATGGATGGATGGATGGTTGGATGATGGATGGATAGATGAATTGATTGATGGATGATTTGGATAGATGAAGATGGATGGATGGATGGATGGTTGGATGATGGATGGATAGATGAATTGATTGATGGATGATTTGGATAGATGAAGATGGATGGATGGATGGATGGTTGGATGATGGATGGATAGATGAACTGATTGATGGATGATTTGGATAGATGAAAATGGATGGATGGATGGATGACCACCATCATGTGTTTCAGCTGTTGTCACAGATGGTTGTGGTCCAACTTCTGTCTCTGATGGCCATCAGTTTAATGAAGTAACCATGGCGACAGCAGAGCGTCCTCCTCTGGTCTCCTGAGCTGCTGCTGTGCACACGGACTTTGTCCTCTGGGCTCTGACAGCCAGCAGCCCAGCTGTGGCTCATTACTGAGACGTCTGACAGTAAACATGATGCAATCACACAATGACCTCTGACCCCGACACCAAGCTGCTGCTCCGAGAGGAAACTTGTTCATCTGAATGTGTTCACGAAGAAATTACTGCCCGTCATCGTAAAGAAGGTGATAATGTTTTTGTCTGTGCGTGTTTTACTGAAATCTCCCGTGAACAGATTTTATCAAAACGTTCAGAAAGTAATCAATAACAGAACATCTATAACTTATTACCTTTAGATGCAACCAGAAACAAGATGGCCGCCACAGACAGTCAAGCATGGCAAACACAAAAATAAATGTAGCTCTGGATTTCATTTAATTTCTGGAGCCTGAGCCTGACCTTATCATCAGACCACTCGATGTTACTGGTGTAAGAAAACTGGAACCTCATTCTATCTCAAACTCCCAACCAGTCGGAGTTAACACCGAAACCCCGACTGAAACTTTAAAATGATCTCAACCAACACTTCATGTTTTTCCTTTCAGTCACGTTCTGCAGCGGAAGCTTCTCCTGCAGCCACGACGTACTTAGATCAAACACCTGGACTTTGACCATCTCTCCCACACCAGGTCACCGAAAAGATTGCTGGAAACCAGTGACTTACACATCTCCCATCAAGCACCACAGTCTGAAGAAAACATCTGATGCTTAAATCAGACCTCCTTCATTCCATCTTTCTTCTCTTCCATCTAAAACATTGTTTCTTTCTCTCTTCGCTCTTTTAATTAGTTACTAAAATAAAATAGTTTCTTTATTTGAACTTTAACGTTCAAATAGCAAATCGATTTTATCCTCTTAGTCAATACTTCAGAGTTTATCTTGCTCTGTGGACGACAGCTGCACGGGGGCTGCAAACTGTGAAAGTACATCCATCCATCCATC